AGCTTTGTTCAAGTCAAGCGTGGGGCCCGCTTTCCACTGGAACTGCCCCCATTGTTTTGACGCGGGTTTGTTGGAATGACCGAAAAGGGCCTGTGTGGTAATTGGAATGGTTGTGAGTGTTTGGTGAGGAGTTGATGAAGGGTAGATTTGTCAGATAATAACAATCTGATTACAGTGGTCAAGAGTCAACGATACTGGGAATTGAAGGTCTAAGTGGTGCAGTGGTATGTTGAATTGTTGATTCAGTCTGCCTTTTAAGTTAGTGGAGAGCCTGAAATAGTGTCCCCTTTTAGTCTAAAGTTTGTGATCTCTTGCCTTTATGTTTATTGCCAAAGGGAAAACGTGCGTCCTATAAAATGAAATTTCACTTTAGGTAATATTATTATATTATATGAATATAAAGGTTTACGGAAATATTATGGTTCCGTCGGAGTTTGTAATCGTTAGATCATCATGTAATCGTCAGATATAGTTGATCTAAAAATTACAAACTCCGACACAATGATTTCGTAACGGCAAGTTTTAATAAATACCAAAGTAACTAGTACAAACACCCGTGTATTACACGGGTGTTTGCTAATTTTTTTCTTAAAATTTTAAATTAATAAGAAAAAAGTAGTTTTAAAATTTAAATACATTTTATAAGAATATATATATTATTATATATTTATTGTGACACTTTTTATTTGTTATACTAATTTTTTTTAACTTACAATATAACTACATTACATATAAATATCAATTGAGAAATAATTTTATTTTTCTAATGAATTTTAATAAATATTATTATTTTTTATTATTATAAAGATAAATATAATTTATTTATTTCATATATACAATATGGATATCAAATCGAAGATTATCAAAAGATGATTAATTTGATATACTATATATGTAAAACCGATAAGAAATACAAAAGTTATCAACTTTTAAAATATTTATAATTCAATAGCTTATTGAAGGAAACAAATCAAAATTCAGGGATATATTAGTCACTTATTGTCTCACTATATAAAATTACAAAAAATTAAAGGGTTATATTAGTAAAAGTGATATTAAAATACCTAAGTTAGCTAAATAATATTTATGGAATACCCGAACCTAGATGATTAATTATTAATATATCAATATTATTCATCCAAACTTAATTATGAAGCATGATTCTTCGCCAAATAGGATTCCGAAGCACCAAAAGCAGCCACGTAGGCTCAGCGCATTCTGAATTTATAAATTACTAGTACAACGCTCGTGTATTACACAGGTGCTTGTTAATTTTTAATTTAAAATTTAAAATTAATGAGAAAAAATAGTTAAAAATTTAAAACATTTTTATAAAAATATATATACTATTATATATTAAGTATGAAACTTTTTATTTGTGTGACTTACCTGTATTATATTATAATAATTTTTTATAACTTACAAAATATATCTACATAAAACATAAATATATCAATTGAGAAATAATTTTATTTTTCTAATGAATTTTAATAAATATTATTATTATTTTTTATTATAAAGATAAATATAATTTATTTATTTAATATATACAATATGGATGTCAAATCGAACATCATCAAAAGGTGATTAATTTGATATATTATATATGTAAAACCGATAAGAAATACAAAAGTTATCAACTTTTAAAATACATTTACAATTCAATAGCTAATTGAAGGAAACAAATCAAAAGTCAGGGATATATTAGTCACTTAGTGCATCACTATGTAAAACTACAAAGAATTAAAGGGTTATATTAGTACAAGTAATATTAAAATAACTAAGTTAACTAAATAATATTTATAGAATGTCCTAACCTAGATTATTAATTATTAATATATCAATATTATTAGTCTAAATCTAATTACGAAGCATGATTATTTGCCATGTAGGATTTCGAAGCACCAGAAACAGCCACGTAGGCTCAGCGCATTCGGAAATTATATATAAAGGGATATATATAGGGAGGATTATATATGACGTGGACTCATGACGCGATTAGACTTTAGAGAACGTACTTGACAACTTTTTATCACGGTCAAGAGAGGCACACAAATAATATGAGCATAGGAGTCCCTGCTAACCATGTAATAATTATAGTCTTGCTTTGAAGCAATGAAGTTGTAGAGGCATTCTAGACTGTTCGAGTACATATGCTGACAAACTAAGCCCAACATTTAAATAAATATATTTTTTCAATAAATACATAAGTTTTAATTTCATGTTAAAAAATTTGAAAAATTCCTCATAAATCTCCATCTCTCTAATTCATTTCCTCCTCAGTTCTTAGTACATAATTTTTTTTTTCTCCATTTCTAATTTCTCTTTCCCTTTTACTCCCCATATACATGTACATGTTATTATTTTTGATTTATTTTGTGTCTGAAAGTAAGAAAGTCTATCTCTCTCTCGATATTATCATTCTGCTCTCTCTCTCTCTCAAAAAATCGCGTCTCTCTCTCTGAAAAGAAGCCGGCGAAAATGCCTCTCTCTCTCAAAAATCGCATGCAAATCGTCTCTCCCGGTCGGTAAATTTCATCATCGATCTCCGATCGTTTGAGGTCTCTCTCTCGTCCATCGCTCCTGCGTTTGTCTCTCCTCTGGCGGTCGTCCATCGCTGCTGCGTTTGTCTCTCCTCCGGCGGGAAGCAATGGCCGGCGCAAAGAAGAAATCTGCTCCCGGCGGGCACAAACCGTCCTCCTCCTCGACACCAACCAAAGCAACAAGGGTAATTTATGATTTTTGGGGTTTTTTTTTTCTAATTTTAGGGTTCTTATGAATTTTAGGGTTTTTCAATTTAGGGCTTTTTCATAATTTTTATTCTTGTCTTGAATTCGAAAACATGAGAGCTTTGGAGAGTTATAAATTTCAGTTTATTTTAGGGGTTTTTTCAATTTAGGCTTTTTTTCATAAGTTTTATTTTTTTCCTTGAATTTCAATTTATGGGTTTTTTTCACAAGTTTCATTTGTTCTGTAACTGCGAAAAGCTATATCGAGCATTAGACTTTGAATACGCATTGGAATACAAAGTCTTCAATATCTTGTAGTTGTCATAACTTTTTTCAATACTGATGAAAAATTGTCCTCTTTTCATTTCTTTCTTGATTGCATCATAAAATCAAAGCATCTTGTACACACAAAAAGTGGAGGCACAGTCTCAGAGTCCCCAATGCCTTTTAGCTTTTGTAACTGCTCTAATTTTGCATGTTATCTTTGTTCTATAATCGAATTTATGTGATATTATCTTTGTTCTGTAATCGAATTTAGGGCACTGAATATTATCTTTGTTCTATAATCGAATTTCTGTGATAGGGCACTGAATATTATCTTTGTTCTATAATTTTTGATAGGGCACTGAATTTAGAAGTCGATGTTCTCCTTCTTACTTTAAGGATGTGATGGACCGAATTGTTGTGTTGTTGTCTGATCAGCACAAGCATGCTCTTCAACAGAGCCCTTTTTATTTATTTGTTAATATGTCTGATTTAAGCATGTCCCATAGTAGAATCGAGGCCTTAATAACCACATACAAGGCAGAAAGTAATGCCTTTGTAGTTGGTAATGGTTTGTCTTTAAATTTTGATCCAGCTGAGTTTTGTGTGACACTGGGGCTACGACAGCGTGGTCTTAGTGTAGACTTAGATTTGAATATGGAGTGTAAAGCCCTATTTGACAATTGGGGTCGGGTCGATTATAAGCTTTTGAAAAGAAAGGATGTGGTAGAAATGTTACAAAAGTTTGCTGTTGATGAAGGTCGTATAGACGACTTCATCAGGATGTTTAGTCTTTTCGTTTTAGCTGTATATTGTTTCCTTGTTCGAGCTATTCAATCCCTCGGTTTGTTTACCCGTACATAGAGGATGTGAGTCGAATCTGTGAGTACGCATGGGGAGATGCTACTCACAAATTCTTGGTTGGTGAGCTAGTTGGCCATTCCCAAGCGAAGGACCGATCATACTTCGATGGATGTGCAGTGGGATTGATGGTATGTATATATTTGTTTCAGTCTCTTAATAATACAATAATAATTGTGTATTTGAAATGATGTGTATGCGTAGGCTTGGTTCTATGAGCGTGTCCCTTCGTTGGGCAAGCGGTCGACGCTCGAGGTGATTCCCCGTCTATTTCGATGGACGGGGAGCAATTTGCCGTCTACAATGGAAGGTTGTTTAAGATGTTTTCAGAAAATAATGAGGCATAAGGTAATTTATATAGTTTTATAGTATTATGTGTTTCCTTCTTCTTATTTTTATTTTTTGGTTAATCGATATTTTTCTTATATCATTATGATTTGAGTTTGCAGGTGTATTCCGTATCGCCTGTGTTTGCCGAGCGTGCCTTTTTGGAGACCCAGGTTTTCTTTATTTTTGGTCGATAATTTATGTTTCAATATTAATATTTTTTCATAGGTACATGTCTCTTTATTTTATATTCCCTTTAATTATTG